ATGACATTGAGTTCTCTTGTTTTGGAAGTTGAATTGTGATATGTTGTTGCTTTCATTGTTTGGGGGCAATGTTTCTGCATTTCTTAGAATTTCAGCATTCAAAGCATGTATTCAGCTGTTAAGCTGTAACCTTTCATCCATAATGTATTCATAATTAGATATTAATTCTTAATATGTTAAGCCAGGTTGTTTTTTCTTTTAAAGGTGGCATTTTCTGACAGAATCTCTGCTTCCAAACTGATATAAGCCATATAGTTTTCATTATGGAGAACTTTATTTTATATGAAGAGATTGGAAGAGGGAACAAGACGATTGTTTATAAAGGAAGAAAAGGAACTATTAATTTTGTGGCCATATTGTGTACTGATAAATGTAAAAGAGCTGAAATCACAAACTGGGTAAGAATTACATATGTTATTTTTGGAAGACATCTTCGTTTACAAACATTAAGAGTTTATTGTAAACATGTTTGTTTCTCCCACTATATGATGTAAATATATTTGATGAAGAGATCTTGATCATGAAACAAAGCTAATTTAGGATAGAAACTTTAATCATAATTTTTATGGAAAGGTTTTGCTGGTTTTTTAAAAAATAGTCTGACTTTTCTATGCAATTTTGGTCAGACAGGATAATTTTAATCCAAAATAGAAACTTGAAGTATGTTATAGGGGAAAAAACCAATTTCTATTCCATGGTAATTTCAATTTATGGTAATACTACATTTCTATTGTTATGGATGATCATACATTCAGCCAGATACTTAGACTGGAATTACCATTTTTGTCCCTTTTGTCTGCAAACCTTCCCAAGAACCTGGGATAAGCAGATGTTATTTAATAATATTAAAGGGTATCATCACAGGATGATTCAAATAAAGTTGCCTTTTGCAATTGATGATTTTGTTAATGTCTATTATATTACTGCAATCTGTTCACAACAATATGAAGTTTCACAGCTGCCAGTACTTTAGCTAATGTTGTCCTTCATAAGGTAAGTTCTTCCCAAAAACCTAGGATCATAATATATTGGTGTTGTATATGTGCAGATCCAAAAAGTGTACCCTTTTTTGCAATTAACAGAAGGAAATCTTGTCATTGTGCAGTTTTTATAAGTGACGTCCAAGATTTTTGGGCATGACACCCAGTGTGCCAAGAACAACTGGGACCGCCATAGGCAATTTATGCCATAATCTTTCAATTTTGATTTTCAAATTTTGCCACTTTGTGATCTCCAATTCTTTGTCTTTTGTTCTACAATCACCTGATATTGCCATATCAAATATCCACACTTTTTCTTTTCTTTTTCTTTTCAAGCTTGGTTAAATGCTACATTATGAACCAAGGCTTTATCAGTCTATATTCAATATCTGACACTATTTCAATCAGCTCATTTTCAATTATTTACTGTAATGTTGCTTATCTATTACAGGTACGTCTAACTCATGAAATAAGACATAAGAACATAGTAACATTTTATGAATGGTATGAAACAAGCAACCATCTCTGGTTTGTGGTGGAATTATGCACAGGTGAGGATGATAGAACTACTTATTTATTTATGAAAACAATTCTACACCATATAAAAAAGAATAATAATTAAAATTGAACATAGCGTCATAAAATCAAAGGAAAGTTTGACAGAGTTGTTTTGGAAAGTCATTCAACAATTTCAGAAATGCTATCGTTATAGGACAATATTTGATTCTTTTCAGTCTTAAAATGGTTGGTCTTTCAATCTTGAGTATAAACAAAGAACTATGACTCATTTAAGAGCTTTCACATGCTCAGGAAAATCCTTATTTTTTCCCTTTCTTTGTAACAGTGGATCACTTATATCAGACATAATTTTGAGTGAATCTGAACATAGCTTCCATCCTTCCCTATACTACATCACATTTTCTCAGTTTGTATTTCCTGAGCAGTTTGCTAAGCCAATGGTAGACCCTGGAGATTTTTAGGAAGTGATTGGACAACCATTTGAAACAAGAGGTCAGTGATGGCGAACCTTTTAGACACTGAGTTGCCAAACTGCGCTTGCACATGCCCAAACTAAAAGGTGTGCGCGTGCAAACGTGCTTGCACAGACATGCGTGTGTGCATGCACTGACATATGCAAACATGCGCATGCACAGACATGCATGTGCATCAGAGACCCGAAGACCAGCTAGCCGGTGGGAGGCGCACTCTGCCTCCTATCACTTCTCTCAGCCTCAATCCGTTTCAAGGGTCTGTATATAGTTGTAGGGATTTTGCTGTTTTAGCAATTCTGTTGCCTTTTTTCTGCTTCCTTTATGTTGTTCTAAATAGACAAATTATTAAGAAAATCAGTTAAGGAGTAGAGCTTTAGAGGATGGTGAGAGAGAAACTACTCTGAAGAAACTGATTCTCAATGAATATTCACTTTTCTTTTATTAAAACAAAAATGTACAATTTGCTACAAAAATCAGATGGACATAAATGATTTAGTTGGAAATCAGGGACATTTTTAACATATAGTTCTTTTATAGTTTTAAACATAATCTTAATAGGTTACATTCTTGCTAACTTAATTACCTTTACTTCCCACTGATAATAGTGGAAATGTTAATCATGCCATTTATTTTATTACTTATTTTTTGAAGATCTCCAGAAATCCAGAAGAGACTGACCCACTGGCAGAGAAGCCAAAGTGTTTTGTTCAGATGATGGTGAAGCTGTAAGAATGTGAAATCTAAAAAAAAAAAAAATTCACCAGCTTCTGAGTAAAATACTTGGCTGGGGCCATGTGGCCAGAAGGCCTAGGCCTGGACTGGGCCACAGCAGCTTCCTTCTTCAGGGATTGAGGCAGCAACAGCAGCAGCCAATGAAAGGGGAGGTAAATTCCTTTGTCTCATTGGGCTTAACTGTAAGTGCCAGCCAGTGGTGGCATTTGCCGGTTTGCTGAACTGTGCAGAATCCGAACTGGTGTGAACCAGCAGCAGCCCACCTTTGCGTGGTGTGACTGTAAGGTACCAGCCAAAGCATGCAGGGCCAATAGGTAGTGGCTGGGTGGGTTGGGCCAGCCAGCAATTTAACAACTGGTTCAGCCGAAGTGGTGCGAACCGGTTGAATCCCACCACTGGTACTAATATTTACCTATCAAACTCTAAACAACTTACCAACCTACCTGCAGATCATTTCATATATATTCAATTAAATCCAAATTCTTTATCTGAGATGAAGCAAGCTGCCACTAGGAAAATGGTAAATTTACTGGAGATGCTCCATTAGTAATATACATTGGAATTATTATTCTTTCATTGTCTGAAAAAGACCTTTCTCTACTATGTTTCCCTGAAAATAAGACCTATTCCAAAAATAAGCCCTAGCATGTTTTCTGCATGTGTGCCCAATATAAGCCCTACTTAAGTGCGTGCAGCCGGCTACCCCCACATTCCATCTGGTTGCTTGCAATACCACTGACATGAGGTGAGATGGGGGGTGGAGCTGCCCCATGAGCACACAGGCTTACCTCAGGGTCCTCGCACCCAACTATCCACGCCCCGACAACTGCCTCGTGGTGGCACCGGCAGCCATTTGTAGCAGAAGCCATGTGATTGCCAGCCGACTTCTGCTTGTTCACGGTTGTAATAGAGCAGGAGGTTGAGCGATGCATTGGTGCTGCGGCCATGAGGCGGGGGAACTGCCACATGTGCCCCGCACATACTTAACTCAGGGTTCCCACAGCCAGGCCATCTATGCCCTGACAACTGCCTCACCTCGCGGCGACTCTGACAGCCCTGTTCTGCAAGACTCGGTGCGGCCACTGCCCACTAATTCTGCTTACCAGCAATGGAGCAGGAAGCCGCAATGGAGCAGAAGGCCGAGCGATGTGTCAGTGCTGCGCCCATGAGGCAGGGGTAGAGGACAAGGCAGTGCAGGTGGGGAGGGGGTAATGGAGCTACCTCATGCACACACTGGCTTACCTCAGGGCCCCGCAGCCAGGCCACCCACCCCAAACCTAACCTTCAACGAAATTAAGTTTGAAACCCCTGATTTAATGGTAGATTTAAAGGAAATTATATTTTGAACCCCAGACAAGATGAGTGCAAAAAGAAAGTTATTTCATTGAGTTCAGGAAAGGAATTGTGGAGGACTCTTGGGGCAAGAATCTTACTGCTTTCTACAAAGAGAAGAAGTTGGATCTCATTATGGTCCCCAAAATGAGTATGATAACCACAGTCAACAGGTTCGCGAGGGAAATGCTAAGAATTGCAAGTCTGGATCAGGTTGGCAACCATTATTTCCTGAACTGGAAGACAACATCTGGATTGCTGACAGGAGAGCAAAGGCTTTGGTTTTGCGCAGGACAGATATTCAAACATTTGCCCTTGCAATGGCACCACAGTTAGAAATATCCCCAGAAGAATTCAAAGCATCACAACACTGTCTGGATGGCTTCCTTCAGCGATATGAACTGTCTCTAAAATGTTCAACAACACTGTTCAAGCTGGAAGGCACTGAACTTACCAAATGTGCATTTGCGTTCAAGTCCTTTGTTTATGACATTGACTTTTCTAAATACCAACTCTCCAATATGATTGCTATGGATGAAAATACCAGGGCTGTGGAGTCGGGAGATAAATGTTCCGACTCCGACTCCTCAGTTTTTTTACTTCCGACTCCGACTCTGACTCCAGGTACCCAAAATTTCCTCCGGCTCCAACTCCTCGACTCTGGCTCCTCAGTTTTTTGTACTTCCGACTCCTCAGTTTTTTGTACTTCCGACTCCGACTCCAGGTACCCAAAATTTACTCCGACTCCTCGACTCCGACTCCGACTCCACAGCACTGGAAAATACAGTGTTTAGGAGCCAAGAATCTCAAATGACAATTGACCAGAGGTGCCTCATCAATCTACATTCCCTCCACTGGTTATGAAAGTGCATGTGTTACCTGCATTTTGGCAATTCGTCTGGATGTAAACAAAGCCCCACCTCTAATCATCACTAAGGGCAAGAAAGAAAAGATTCAACGTGTTTCAGGGATTTATGTTCTTTTTTAAAATTATTTTTTATTATGCAATTTTCTTTATTATATATAAAATTTTCATATCCACAATGGCAGTGTTCTGACTGGGTATAATCTCTTTTAAATACAAATAATAAATCTTATACACACAATAGCTATAACTATTATTCTCAAAATCTATTCATTATAATCTTCACATATCCTTATTAAACATTTTCCGTTATTTAATTAAACACTGTTTGGTTTTGTCTATAATTAGTTAATAATATCAAGCATTATAGACATCATATAACCATCACATTTGTAACCATTATTGTCCAAGTCTATTAATCATGTTTACTTATCCTTATTCAATATTCATTATTTAATTACACATTTACTTCGTTTTTATTTACTTACCCTCCCTAATTCTAAATTTTTAACTTCTGCTTCTATTTTCTAACCATTGATAAAATAATTCCCAAGTTAAAAAGTATTCTGTTTCCTCCTTGTCCTTAATTTTCAATGTTAATCTATCCATTTCAGCACATTCTAGTATTTTCTTTATTACATTTTCCTCTATAGGTATATTTTCATTTTTCCAGTTTTGTGTATACACAATTCTCGCTGCTGATATCACATTTTTTCCAGTTCAAGAACATTTGGATGTATTAGTGCTTCCATCGTGGATAGCCAGATCAGTATTTTCATGTAATGTTTCTCTTTAATTCTTTTCCATACTAAAAGCAGAGCATTTCTAATATAATGTCTGAAAATATCTATGCATTTTATTTTTCCCATACCACATAAATGCATGCCACCCCAATTGTAAATCATGTCCTTCTAAAGTCAATATTTTTTGTTCCTTAAATTAACCCATTCTTTCACCCATGTAAGCACTGAGGCCTGGTAGTACAACTCCTAATCAGGTAACCCAAATCCCCCCTTATTTTTAGATTCTTGTAGCATTTTCAGTTTTATTCTTGTTTTTTTCCCTTGACAAAAAAACTTTAAATTCCATTTGTTTAAATCCTCAAAAACTTTTTTTCTAGTTTTATGGGAATTGTTTGAAACAGAAATAATAACTTCGGCAAAATGTTCATTGTAACTATTCTTCCAACAATTGACAGCTGTAGGTTTCTCCATTTTTCCAGGTATATCTTTATTTGTTGTATTAATTTAAAATAATCATCTTCTTTAATGGTTGCACATCTCGCCGTTAACCAAATTCCTAAATATTTTACTTTTTTAGTTATCTGAATGTCTATCTTTTCCATCAATTCATTTATCTGTTTATTTGTAAGATTCTTTACCAGCATCTTAATCTTTTGTTTATTTATTTTTAATCCTGTTACTTCACCAAAATCTTCTATTTTTTTTATTAATTTAGATCGCATTTCTAGTGGTTCTTCTAGTATAAATACTAGATCGTCCGCAAACGCCTGTAATTTGCAATTTTCTTTTTTTATTTCCATACCTTTTATTTCTGGGTCTTGTCTGATCTTTCTAATCAAGGCTTCCAAAGTTAGTATAAATAATAGGGGGGACAGAGGATATCCTTTTCTTGCACCCTTACTTATGTTGAAATTCTCTGTCATCCCATTTACTATCACTTTTGATAGTATTACAAATAGTTTAGAATATATTGCCTTAATCATATTTATAAATATTTCACCAAATACATTTTAGTTGTAGTATCATGAATTGCCAATTCAGATTATCAAAGGCTTTTTGTGCATCTAAGAGCGCTAGTTGTTTTTCAGAGTGTACTTCATAGTATTCCAATGTATTCAAGATGATTCTAATATTATTTTTAATTGGTCTTTTGGGTAAGAAACCATTCTGGTCCAGGTGTATAAATTCATTCAGGAACATTTTTAGTCTCTCAAAATATATTGAGGCATATATTTTGTAGTACTGGTCTATAGTTTTTTATCTGCTGTAAATCTAAGTCTTCTTTTGGTATTAAGGTAATATTTGCTTCTGCCCATGTTTTGGGAGGATTGGCCCTTAACAACACGTTATTATAGATCTCCAACATTGACAAGCATAAGACATCTTGTAGTTGTTTATAATGTTCTGCCGGGAGCCCATCTGGTCCAGGTGTTTTATTGCTTTTTTGCCTAGTAATTGCTTCTGTTAATTCCATCATTATTATTTTTTCATTTAACTGTTTCTGGTATTTTAGATAATGCAGCCTTTTCTAAGTATTGTTTTATTATATCTTCTGACACTTTTTCTTGAGTGTAAAGTTTCTCATAAAATTCCTGGATTATTTTCTTTTTACCTTCATTTTGATGGTGAAGGATCCCCTTCTCATCTATCAGTTTATGTATCATTTTCTTCTCTTTTTCTATTTTCAGCTTGTATGCTAGCCATCTACCTGGCTTATTTGCATTTTCAAAAAAGTTTTGTTTTGCCATTTTAATTTTTTGTGCCATTTCTTCTTTTTCTATTAAATTAAATTTATGTTTTGTTAATTCCATTTTCTCTTTTACATTACTTTTTTGCAGATCTTTCTGCAATTCTATCTCCAGCTTTTTGAGTTGTTCTTGTAGTGTTTTCTGCTGTTGTTTCTTTTTCTTGTTTCTTCTTGCTATATGTATTATGGCTAATCCTTGCATGTATGCTTTAGCCGTGTCCCAAACATTTTGTAATGATATTTCTTCTTTTCTGTTTTCTTTAAAAAGAAGTCTATTTCTTTTTCCATTATTTGTATAAACTCCTTGTCCTTTAGTATAGTTTGATTCAGTGTTTCTTCCTTTATCCCTTCCACCTGATTTTTATTGGGTTATGATCTGCCCATATGTTCGTTTCTATATCAACCTCTTGGACGTTTGTTCTCATTTCTGGCAGCATTCATATCTAGACCATGATTGATATCTGTTCGAATAGAATGTATATTGGTTTTTCTTTGGATTTAACTCTCTCCATATTGTATGCCTATTTCTTGTGTCATTTTGAAATTACTGAATTTTTAGATAATATTTTTATCACTTATCTTGAAATAAATTTATGTTCTAAATAAATTTGTATTCTGACATACCTACTGTTAAATAGACTAACGATAGGCATAGACATTGACTTGAAATGCAGAAAGGGAATGTTCTTAAACTAGTACAGATTTAGGTGGAGACAGGAAAGGACATTTTTATGTAAGATTTATTAAATAAGATGCCACCATTCCTCTTTCCATCAGGCAATGCATAATAAAACCTGAGCAGATTTCTCCTTCTCCTTTCATTTTTGAAAATTATATTTTTTTCATAGAAATTAGAGATGTTTTTTAATGACTATTCATAAATAATTCCTAGGTGGGTCATTAGAAATTTTAATTGCTCAAGATGAATATCTACCTGAGAATGTCATCAGAGAATTTGGTATTGATTTGGTTACTGGACTGCATCATATACATGAGCTTGGAATTATTTTCTGTGATCTCACACCTAGGAAGGTAAGGGAACATATATTTGCATTGATACGTGATTTCTGAAAATAATTAAATAATTGCTTTTTAATTCAAGAAGCTGCTATTTGGTACTTCAGTTTGTGTTTAACTTTACAGATTCTCTTGGATGGAGCAGGCACTTTAAAATACAGTAATTTTTGCTTGGCTAGAGCAGAAGGTGAAAATCTAGAAGATTTTTTTGCTTTGATTGGCACAGAAGAGCCAGGAGATAATACTTCTGAAAGCACAAAAGACAATTTAAAAAGCAAAATTAGAGGTATATATTGAACCATTTAAATGCAGCAGCAGCTAAATTCTAATTAATATATATCATAATCTTTCATTAACTGATGTGGGGACAAGTTCAATAATGACCGTTTACTTCACTGAAAGTAATAATATTGATAAATATTCCTCTTTGGATGTTTTCCTATATAGATACAGCTGATTATTTGTGTTCATCACTTGAATATAATTAAATGTTACTGTATTTCTTTACATTGAGTATATGAAGACAGTTTTACAGTGTCACACATTTTACATTGATTGATTTCAACATTAGAACTAAGTCTTAGCAATCATTCCATGAATTTCTAAGAAGCATAGGATTGGGAAAGCATGTGGGTCTTGAATGGATGTCCTTTATAACATCAGAACAAAAAATTGTTCGTAATTTTATTTTGCAGGTTCATTGGTATACACTGCACCAGAAGTGATTAAAGGAGCTGATTTTTCTGTAGCCAGTGTTTGGGCTGCCTATTATATGAAATGTTTTCAGGTATTACAAGATTCATAGTTGTATAATTAGTATTACAGTTTTAATTAATACCATAAATATTAGTAGAAGTTAGGGTTCTGGAGTTTATGTGTTCTGTCTTCATGACCTTATGTGAGTTTTTTTGCAAATAAATCCTGGCCATATAATTCCCCGTCCATAACGCAGATTAAAATAACACAAAAGAAAATTCAAGCACTAAAATAGAAAACCATAATATAAGAGGGGACAGTTGCCTCTTGCAGCACCCTGCCGGCCAAAACGTAAATGGGTCCCATGTGACCCGTTTTCGGCTCCCATTTTAGGGCCATTTTCAGGGCCGTTTGTGGCTGGCAGAGTTCTGCAGGAGGCCATGGACGGTGAAAACGAGGCACAGGCAGGCACATATGGCCCGTTTTAGCCACCAGAGGCACCGCGGGCTGGTCCTTTGATATTTCCAGGCTGGCCCTGTGGGCCGGATTTAAGCACTCCGGATCTGTCCCATGGGCCTTGAGTTTGATACCCCTGGTCTAAAGAAAGTGGTATCATTATTACTAACTTCAGGGTTGGGGACAGAGGGAGAAGACCACCCTGTCTGGATTAACATATTAACATTTTCCACATTAAAGCAAAATTAATTTATTTGGTTTCTTCTAAACTCTTTTGTGTGAAATCGTCTCTCATATTTTTATCAACAGTGATACAGTAGTCATAAACTCGTGTTGCTCTGGCTATAGGTGTGTAAATAATCCCTCCTTAGCAAATGTACTTAGAGTTTTCTAATGCAATCCATTTGCATTTCTGTTGAACTACCAAGTAGAACATAATAAATGTTTTATTATGTTACTATGCAAGACATTATCAGAAGGCACTGATTTTGATGTATTTAAAATTGTTTTTATCCTAGATGCATGGGCGTACCTGGAGTTATTAGAATGATACCCGCTCTCCTCCTCAGCCCTAATAATAATCAAATTAAAAGGATAATGTAACAGTGGTAAAAAATTGGAGAGTTGAGCAATTTTGTGAGCTCTTATATAAGAACAACAAAATCTGGCTTTACATTACATTTTTTTGTATTTGATCCCTGGGGGATCATGCAAATTACCATATTTTTCGAAGTATAAGATGCACTTTCCCCCCACAAAAGACGGTGAAAATTTGGGTGTGTCATATACACTGAATGTAGCCCCATCCACCTGCCAGCCCCCACCCTTTGGCCTCTGCCTCCCAGCAGTTTACCTCCTTGCAGCAAGCAGCAAACTGCAAACTGCAAACAGCCCGTTTCAGCTTCAGCACAGCCTGATTAGCAGAAGCTGTTGGATCGGTCTCCCGACTCTCAGCTGTTTCAGGCTGCAGGGATTTGCCATTGCCTATTGCCACGCGGGCCTCCTGCAAGCAGGCAAATTGCTGGGAGGCAGATTTTTTTTTCTTCTTCAAGCTGTGCTGAAAATGAAACTAAAACAGACTGTTTGCTGTGCTGGGAGGCAGAGGCAGAGTTATTGTGAGTGGTTTATGAGTCTTATTTTCTTCTTTGTGTCCTTTTGTTGTAAAATTTCTGTCTAGAATCAACAATTAGCTGGTATTTAAAAAGCATTTCACTAACTTAATTAAAATGTTACCTGAAGGAAAATAAAGAGGGGGGAAAAACTTTATAGATCTGTGCAAAGAAAAAAACTTAAAACAGTTCCAAACTGGTAAAATTTCATATTATTTCCCATATCCATGCACTAGTGTATATCTTGTTTTCCTCCCCAAAGAAGGTAGGTGCGTCTTATAGTCCGGAGCGTCTTATATTCTGAAAAATACAGTAATGCCCAGATAGAGGTCAGCTTATGTAATGGTATCAACTTTCCAGTGATTTTAAATGCTGAATGCAGTCGGTGTGTGCTTTTAAATGAACTTTTAAAGATTTTTGTTGCTCCATTTTTTTTAAGTTTTACTGAAATCTGCTACAAATGTATGTTTTATAGGAAGACCTCCTTTCAATTCAAAAAATATTGTTGAATTAACAGAATACATTTTACATGAAGATCCTGCCCCACCTAAACAGAAAGGTATGGTTCTTTATATAGAGAAAATTTTGAGGTCACCTGGAATGTTTAGTTCTTGCACAGTATCACAATTTTTTAAAGTCCTAACGGACAGGTAACATTTATTAAGGAAGTTATTAAATCTACATCTCTTGAATTTTTTGTATTCATGAGAAGGGAAAAGAGAAGGAAATAGGATGTGAAAAACATTTTGAATATGAACTGTTTAAAAGTTTGAAATTCTCTGCTTTCAGTGTAATACAGCTACTTAAAGTGTGCAACAACGTGTTTCTCTTTTTCTTAAAGTTTCAATATCAAGACAGCTCTGTCTAGAATTTCCATAACAGCGGGAATAGCACATTTAATATTTTAAATAGCATTCACGCACAGCATTGAAATGGAACATTTTATTTTTAATCTAAAACATTTTGTATACCATTATACAAAAAATAGTCTGTTCTTCCTTTAGGAAATTGGCCCAAGAGCATCAGGTTTTAAACAAAAAACCCAGAGCAAAGAAAAAGAGATTGTCTTTTACCTCCTACCTCAGCTTGTTATTTCTAGTGCTCAATAGGATAAAAGTTGCAAAAGAGGCAATGTATTTTGACTCAATGCCCTAGATAAATGATGTATTTAAATTTGGTAAAATATGAAAAGTGGGCCAAAATTATTCTGGCTTTGTTCTTTTTTCAGAAACTACTTTTTTCTCCTATAATGTACATATTCCTGCTTGCTCTGGAAATTAGTTTCTTCTGATAAAATACTTATGTAGATTTACTTGGTAGTTCAACTACCAGGTGCCAGTTGGAAAACTATAGACTTGGCTCCCATTGACTAATAAAAGAAAATGAGAAAAATGAAAAATTACAAGACTAATATTTAAATTTAGTAATTCTGATTTCACATAATTTCTAGACGAATCTATAATACCAGCCTATTATTTTAACAAGGTTGTGCTTTGCTGTTCTGCCATTTGTAACATTAATAATTAATATGCCAAAAAAACAGCTGGGGAAGAATATATAGGAAAAAATTTGGTTGTAACAAGTATTTGAAAAATAAATTGCATAGCAATAGCATTTAGACTTATATACTGTTTCACAGTGCTTTACAGCCCTCTCTAAGCAGTTTACAGAGTCAGCATATTGCCCCCAACAATCTGGGTCCTCATTTTACCTACCTCAGAAGGATGGAAGGCTGAGTCAACCTTGAGCCTGGTGAGATTCAAATTGCCAAATTGCAGGCAGCCAGCATTCAGCAGATGTAGCCTGCAGTATTGCATTTAAGCACTGCACTACCACAGCTCTAATAAATACCAGCTCTAATAAATACCAGCTGTAATTTATTTCTCTGATAATATTCTGTGGAAAGGAAAACAATTGGCTATTAGAGACATATTTCAAATTCAGGATGAAATGGGTATTTATCAAACAATGTTATATAAAAGTGGCAGCATGAATATAATTTAAATGAAATAATACATAAAATACATAAAACTATAATAGTCTATTATAGTTTTGCTTTTATATCTCTATGTCAAATATTTGTTTTAGTCAAATCTAGTGAGATCAATATGAGAGATGAAAAATGATTATGTTCTCAAAATAATGCAAATTGATTTTATTGCTGTCTACACTAAACCAATGAAATGTTTCTGGGACTGCTACATACCAGGTTTCCCCAAAAATAAGACCCAGTCTTATTTTCTTTGGGCTTGAAAATAAGCATTTGGGCTTATTTTTGGGGAAGTCTTTTTTTTTTAAGGGCAGGAGGTGGCGAATGCAGGGGCTGACGGAAGTGAGAGTGCAGTTACCACTGGCCCTGCCCTCTCCGTCCTGCTTGCCCCCGGCTGCAATGGACCAAACTGTCGGCATGCTTCGGCCTTCTTGCTGCAGCCAAAATATCGTTAATTCCGAGCATGGAAACAGAGGCGGAGGGGGGAGAAGATGGGCGATCCGGACATGTTGTGTGGCTGCCTGACTCATGGGAGGTTTGCGGGAGCCTTGTGCGGTGGCACTGGCAGCAGGCACAGGCATGAGGAATGGGGGAGGCAGCCAATCCCAACACCCCATACAGGTTCTTCCTTGGCATGCTTGCAAGCTGAGAGATGGTGGGATGAAGTGGGCGGTGCACTGGGATCGCCTCTACTTCTGCCTGGCTCTGCTGCACACTTTTTGCCCAGAGGGAGATGAAGCTTCATGTGCTTGCAAAGGAGATGCTTTGAAACGGACCTAATCGCTCTGTTTCAAACTGTTCCCTTTGGAAGCACATGAAGCACACAAAGCTTTGAGTCACCATCATTTCTCTGTCTGAGTGAAAAGTGTTGGGTCGCCTATCGAGTGCTTGGGAACAGAGCAAATTGCTCCAAAAATATCAAGTGAAGGAAATGAAAGTTATCTGAAGAAAGTGGCCAAGGAGTGGGTCGGTTGTGGGGGGAATCTTTCCTAAAATCCTAAGTGTGTGAAAGAGGAACAAAAGAACGAGTGAAGGAAGACGGTGCCTTCACCTTCTATACCCCTCCTTCCCTGCCCAAGCTCTGCTTCCCCTCCTCCGAATTCTAGATGGGCATCGGAAGTGGAAAGGGGCAGGAAGGAGACTGAAGTGGCTGGGAAATGAGGGCAATTCACAGTTTCCCATAGATTGATAAGCCGTGAAGGGGGTTGAGCAATTTGTGGGGTCCTGCCCCACCGCTAGTGAGCCAGGGCCAGGGAATTCTTGAAACTTCCCCAGGAATGCCGTGGAGGGGAGTAAAAGGGGTGTCGCAACAAAGATTTGGGGTGTCGGGTGAGAGGGGCGGACAGGGATAATTCATCCCAGTGCTCAATCTGCTTTGTTTAAGGGGATCCTTCGGGAGAGAGAATGCGGGCTTGGGAAGGAAGCACCCAGGTTTGTCTGCAGCGGTGAGATATATCGGTTGAATGTGTAGCATGTGTTGTTATGTTGTGTCTCCTGTGCATCAGGGAGGGAGAAAAAAAAGGCCTGTTCTGATCAGCGCGTAGCAGCATAGCACGGGGTGGGAGAAGAGAGAGAGAAAGTCTCTTGATTCCTGTGCATGTCTTTTCACTTTTCACTAAGTGTAAAAGTGTGTGTGGGGGGAGGGGGAACGGAGGCCTTCCTGAGTCTTCTTGCTGCCCTGAAAATATTCAACAATCACTGTATCTTTCACTGGCCAGGTTGTGTGTGTATTTGCTGACATCCTTCAAATTGGACTCTTCTCCCTCAGGAAGAGCACCCAATAGGCAACCAAACACTTTTCGCCCAGACAGAGAAATGACAGAGACTCAAAGCTTCCTAATCACTCCATTTCAAACTGTCCCCTTTACAAGCACATGAAGCTTCATCTCCCTTGGGGCAAAAAGTGCACAGCAGAGCCAGGCAGAGGCGATCCCAACCTGCCGCTCACTCTGTTCCACTGTCTCTCGGCTCGCCTGCAGCTGTGCTGAACAAACACCTGCACTGGGCATTTGGATCACCTGTCTCCCCCATCCCCCATGCCTCTGCCTGCTGCCGGTGCCACTGTGCATGTCTCCTGCAAATCTCCCATGAGTCAGACAGCCGTGCAGCATGTCCGGATCACTTGTCTTCTCCCCCTGCCTCTGCCTTCACACTCGGAATTAACAGTACTTGTGCTGCGCCAAGGGACTGCTGGGCTGTGGCTGTGCCCCCCTGGGCTTATTTTTGGGGTAGGGCTTACATTAGGCCCCACCCAAAAAAACAAGCTAAGGCTTTTTTTCAGGGTGTGTCTTATTTTCGGGGAAACACAGTACATTTTTCTCCTCCAATTTTTTTTTTTTTTTAAATTTGATTTATATGCCGCCCTTCTCCGGAGACTCAGGGCGGCTTACAGTGCGTTAAGCAATAGCCTTCATACTTTTGTATATTTATACAAAGTCAGCTTATTGCCCCCACAAACTGGGTCCTCATTTAACCTACCTTAGAAAGGCTGAGTCAACCTTGAGCCTTGGAGAGATTCAAACCAGCAGTAAATTGCAGGCAGCTGTGTTAATAACAGGGTGCTTTAAACCACTGTAGTACCAAGGCTCTTTTTTAGAAATAAAGGTTAGGAATTACTGTGATACTGAAACATTTCCCTAAACTGCTGAATGTGAGATTCCAGTGATTCCTTCATTAAAAAGATATTTGAATTAATTTTTAAATTGTATTCATAATTCATTGTTTTTAGAAGTTTGTGGTTTACTTAGTAAAATCACCTTTTTGTGATGAAATACAATATGTATTTGTTTTTCAGAATCAGCACTTCTAAAACCCTCTTCTGACTTCCTTAACCTGCTTGACTCTTTATTTCAAAAGGATCCTCAGAAAAGGTGAAAAGTTATTTATATTAAATAATATAAATAAATATAAATATAAAAGTACACTTTTTATATTAATTTATTAATTTATATTAATAATCATGTATATCAGTGGTTCCCAAAGTGGGTGGTACTGCCCCCTGGGGGATGGTGGGATGCCTTAGGGGGGTGGTAAGAGGCAAGGAGGGTGCCCCCACCCTTTGGCCTGTGCCTCGCAGCAGTTACCTCCTTGCAAGCAAACAGCAAGAAAAAAAAACTCCTTTCAGCTTCAGCAGAGGCTAATTAGCTCATTGATTAGATCGGCCTCCCGACTCTCAGCTGATTTGCTCTCAGTTGTTTTGCGCTTGCTGCAAAGAGCTAAATTGCTGGAGCAGATTTTTTTTTCTCTTTGTGCTAATCAAGCTGAAAATGAAACTAAAAGTAAAGCAGGCTGTTGGCTGTTTGCTGCAACATTGGAAAATTAGGCAGAGGCAGATTTTTTTTCTTCTTTTTCCTTACCAAAAAAGGTAGGTGCAAGCAATGGGAAATTTAGGGCAAAAGAGGAGAGTTCAAGATTTTAAAACGCAAAAGAAAAAAAGGAGAAAGGAAAAGGCAAAAATGGGAAGGGAGAAAAAGAAAAAGAAATGAAAGAGAAAGATGTTATACATATTTAGAATTGAAATATGAATAGTAGTAAGAAATAAATGGGAAATCATGATTGTAAAAATGAAATGAATAATAATTGGAATATTTGTCTTTGTATTTTTGAAATCTAGATGATAAGTTTTTCTTTTTTTCAGAAATATGAATAAGTATAAACTGTAACAATTGGAATACCTTTAATGGTATATGGTGGTGAAAGTAAAAAGGATTAAGTTGTAGCTTGGATAACAGCTAGAACATTTTTAAATTTAATTAGGGAAATTGTAACGATTGAAATATTTTAAATTATATGTTGTGATGAAAGTAGAAATGATTAAGTTATGATTTGGAGGATTATATGGGCAAAACTATTTGGGTTATTGGGAGAGTTTAAGATGTGAAAATGAGTAACATAAGGGGAAAGCTCTATTTAACTAGGAAATTGTAATAATTGAGATACTATTAATTGTATATTGTGTTGAAAGCAGAAATGGTTAAGTTGTGGTTTGGAGGAATATATGGGGAAATTATTTGGTTTATTATTATTGGTAAATATAATTAATTGATTTGTAAGGAATTGGATTGCATGGAAATAATTGGAATATTCATGTTCATATTGATTAATATACAAAAAAGATAGTTATATAACTAATTGATTTATATTAAAATGTTGAATTTGTATTAAACAACTGTAATATTACATAATTAACCAATGTGAGGATGGATATAAAAATAGATGACAATGGGAAGGGTTATAATATAGAATAGAAGGGAAAATTGAATTTGATTAAGATTAGAGATGAGGATGAAGGGTAATATTGGTTTTTTTAAAAAAATAGATGAGGAATAAATATGGCAAAAAGGAAATATAGAAATTGTAAATTTAGTTGAAATGACTAAACACTGTTTAAATTTGTGAACCGGCCAAATACTCTGTTCAAAGAAAATACATTGTATGTTTGTATGTGTGTTTCTAATTATTGTTATTTATTCATATTTGTTCTCTCTTATTCTTTAAAGTTTAACAATTAATTCTTTATCTTAATATCTTTATATTTGTTTGGGGTTGCCTTTCTTCCCTTTCATCTTTTTTATTGTACAGCAATCTTTCTCCTCAAACCTACCACCTCTCTCTTTTCTTTCCTTCTTACTTTCTCTTCCCCCCTTCTTCTTCTCCTCCCTACTTCCCCTTCCTTTCTCCTTCTCCTCCTCTCTTCCTCCCTCTCCTTCCTTCTTCCATCTCTCTTCTCCTTCCTTCATCTCTCTTTTATATTTTCCACTATGGAGTCCAGGCAATCCTGATCTTTCTTTCATTTATCAAGTATATTTCTCAAAATTTCCCCTCATCTTTTTAATTATTAGCAGTATATTTCATCTTATTCCATTTTTTCTTTTAAATCTTTACTCAAACAATCTTCCAATCCTTA